TGGATAATTCTGAGAAGGAGGGAAGCTGCGGCGACTAATGAGAACGTTTGCAGGCTGCTGTTGAAGACAGAACTGCAGCAGTCTGACTCTGCAGCTCTCTGGTTATTGATTAAACCCCGAAAAACTCGTCTTCATCAATCAAAGTCACGTGTTTTGAAGTTTTTCCTCCATGACAATAATCCCTTCATGCCGTTACATAGCTCTGCGCTGTCGGTTCCTCTGGAATGTGCAGATTGAAATCTCTGTACTGACTCTTATCTTAGCTTAGCACAAAGACAGCTAGCGTAGCTTTGTTCCATCCGAGCTGTTTCTGATACTGATAAACAATTTCCTAGATAGTACGAACTTCAATTACGTTAAAGTTAATTAACTGCATTTCTGCCTCCAGTCGGTTCATTAATGTTCTGTAGGTGGAACCCTGTTGTAAAGCTCCAGTAGAACCCTGTCTAAATGTGGGGTTAGAAGATAAGACGTACTGAGGATCCACAAGCTCCAAACGTTGGAGAGAACTTGTTTTCTCTACATGATGTCAGAAGATGTATCGTAGAACAGCTGCAGTACCTGGTTGTTCCACCAGGTGGAGCCTCTCATGGTTTAATCCTGTAGAGCCCAGAGGAGGCGTCACCAGGTGCTAGTTCCAATGCTTAGTTGGTACAAATCTGGCACCACCTAAGAACCTGTTTGCTTTTTCGGCGAGGAGCCAAGTTAGAGCCACGCCTACGTCACGGCATACGTAGCCGTTTACCGAAACAACACTCCTACCAGACTAACTCGTTCACTGGTGCGACCAGCTTTCTCCCACCTTGAAACATATGACTTGCTGAACATTTTCTTATCAATAGACGCTACAATTTACGACGCTCCCTGAACGCCCCACGCTGCAGGCTGCGGTTGCTGCTGTTTGGTGGCCGCGGTGCTCAGACCGGTGTGCGACCAAAAAGACTAAACGAGGGCGATCTAATGTCAGAAGATGAAACCATCCATCTCTGTTGTGCAGCATGATGTTCTATGAGGGGAAAAAACGTTTGTGCATGTTTTTCATGAGAAGTTCTAAAAGTCCTGTTTCCACCACTGTGGTGCTGCTGGTGGGACTCAGCTGTAGCGGACAGTCTATGCAGGACTTCCTTTAAGGTTGTGGCTCAGGTGGTAGAGCGGCTTGTAGGTTTGTGGTTCGATCCCCCGGCCCTCCAGAGTCGAAGTGTCCTTGGGCAAGACACTCCCAATGGCATGCAGCCTGATGTGTGTGTGTGAGTGGGTGAATGAAGCGCTTTGAGTGCTGCTAAGGTAGAAAAGCGTTATATAAGTGCAGTCCATTTACCATTTGTGTCCCGGGACTCATTCCAGTACATCTGTGATCGGACCAGAGACGTCGTGGCTTGTGTGTCCCATTCATTCATTGGTCTCAGTGGTCACGATAGCCCCGTCCCCAGCTCCTGACGGTTGTTAGCTCTGGCCCGTTGATGGTCACTAAGCACCAGTTCTGAGACCCTGGAGCCGGTGCTTAGTCGGTGGAAACACAAAGAACTGGTGTTAAGTCAGGCCCTGGTTAGAACGAGCTCTGGAACCAGCTCAGTGGAGAAGGACTACCAGACTACAGTTCATGTTGGCGAGCAGCAACGGGCAATGGGCACCATGACAAAGACTTAATGACCTCTGAAAGTGAATTTAAGCAAAGAATGAAGCTTCAATTAGGTTCGATAACAAGATTCCAGGATCAGTCCAACGTTTCTCGTCCAAACAAATGAACCTTCTGGCTCCAGGTTTGCAAGAATATTGTATGAATGAAACAAACAAAATGCCCCCTTTTACCTTCCTGGTGAATCCTGTTAGCACCTGAGACGACCTGGCTAGCTGTTTTCCTCTGATGTCATATGGCTGGATTGTGCTTATAACCAATGAGTTAAACTGAAGGCTTTGTAGTGGCCAGCAGGGGGCGACTCGTCTGGGTGGAAGAAGACGTCAGGTTGTGTAGAAGTCTGTGAGGAAATGAGCCAACGTCTGTTTTGATTTACTGCTTTAGTCAACGCTTTAGTTTTATTAGTTCATGGTCTCAGTTGTGAAGTCGTCTTTAATGATGCTTCAGGCTCATTGTTTATATCTGAAGTTTTTCACACAACATTAACACAACATGGGAACTGTTTAAAGATGGAAGAAGGACCACGTGGTGTCCAAAGACGTGCCGAATACAAAGAAATGAGTTCTGATAAGACACAAGGTGACACCAGACTGGTTTCCCTGTTTTCATGATTTCTGCTTTTCCTTCAAATGAAACAGACAAATTCAGGATTTATCGGCGTTCTCTGTCTAAACTGTGACCTTATGGGAACACATGGAGGAACGATAGGTGAGCATTTAATTGAATAAATAAATCAAGCGGAGGACCATCTGACCTCTGAAACGCCGCTAAAAGGGGCCAAAGCTGAAGAGCCGCCTCGTCCTCAGCGATCAATAAATCATCAATCAGGTTATGGTCGCCAAGACAACAGGACAGATGTCAGCCATAGACGCCTTTTATAATAATATCGATGCTTATTAATTGTTTTATAGATCCGTTGTGATACAGTATCGACAACCACACTGTAAAAAGTGAATGTTTTTCGAAAGTGTTTGACTGTAAATGTTTTTCAACAACTTCCTGTTACTTTACAGATTTTCCCTGTTTTGTTGAATTACTAATAACGAGAAAAATCTCAATAAAAGTAATAAATTGCATGTTAACTATTTTTAAAAAGTCCAAACTGTATTTATTATGTTATCCATGTCGTAAATCTGTATTTTATAATTTTTTTTAAAATTCTTATTATTTTTCTTCTTTTTTAATTTTTACAATGACTGAACATAAAACAACAAAACAAAAAATTTTTTTTTTTTACTGCATTTAAATAAATCAAAAATATTTTCCTTTTAACAGATATTTACCATTATTTGGATGAAAAATTAGACATTCAGGACTGAAGATTTGTCAATAAATTCTTTAACTGTGTCTCTACATATTGTTTTTTTTTTTAAATGTATAACCAGTAAAATTACAGTAAAAAATATTTTTAAATTGAGGTAAACCGTAAACATAATATAAATAAAAAATAAAACCGTACATAATATCCACATCAAAAATCTAACATTTTTTTCAAGCAGTAATTTGTTCTCTCTCATTTTTTGCTTTATTTAAATTAACTGAAACATCATTCTTTACAAATATTTGCCGTTATTGTCACCGTTTTCACAACGTTCCAGTTTTCCACCAGTCATAACATTATTTGTGGCGCCCTCGCTGCCAGGTCTTCCTCGTTGTTGTTGTTGTTGTTTATCTTGTTTCTTTTCTACAGTTTTGCGGGTTGCTTGTGAAATATAAGCAGCAGGAAGCTTTAACGGCCTGTTTGACCTCCGACCTGCTGTAAAAGCTCTGCAGGCCTCCGGATCCATTTATTGGATTTACTGCAGACCTGATGGATGCTGGACAAGCAGAGGACCAGCGAGTTTCTCTGAACACGGTGGTCCTGAAATATCTGAAAACACACCTGATTTCCGCTGGATGAACCCTCGTCATGTT